TCATCAAGCTGTCAAAGAATAAAAATGCAAGTTTTGGCCAAGGTGTATAATAAATTGTTCCACCGTTCTTAATAATTTGGTTTCGCTTCGTTAAACCATATTTTTGGTTTAGGTCACTTTACTGATGATATAGCAGCCAATAGTAATTCATGTTTTCACTTCTTTAAGTACATGACCCCTCTAAAGTGATATTTCTCTTCCGGAAATGGTAAGTAATATCGCATTTTATCAGAAGGAAAAAATATTGAACCAATATTGTTCCATTTTTTCATATTTCTCTTTATATTTTAACTGCTGATAACATAAATTAAATGCACATTAAAGATATATAAATTATGAAAAATGTTCTAACGGAAAGACTTCCTCTTTACGCAAGGTGGAAAGCGCGATAAATTTATTTCACAATCATCAAAGCTCTTGGGAAATTACCACTGATAAGCCAGAAGGGACCAGCTCTGAAAAAATTGTCAAATTTACACATTACGCGAGGAATATGTTGAATTCTCCACTGTGAGTGCTAATAAGTTTCCTAATTACTTCCTGCTTTAAAACACTCTAAATTTCTTTACATATAGATGTTAAAAATGGATTGTATTTTGTATCAAGTATCTTAAAATTAGTTAATTAATTAATTTACCAGACATATGTGAAGGTAATTCATTTTTTAATTTCTAATTGAAGATTACCTTTTATTAACTGACATTATCGCAATAACCCTGATAAATATATGTATTTATAATAACACTATTAATTTACAAATAATAATGCAATGAAAATAATACGATATTCGATTATTTACGTAAGCTTTAGTAATACTGAAGTACGAATTCGAGTAGGTATTGACAGATAGGGGATACAGATACAGTACATTGTAAACTCTATAATCAAACGTGCGCCAAACGACAAATTATTTATAGATATTGAAACTGATCATTAGATATGCTGGATTTTATGGGATTATGTTATCAAAATGTATATGTTAAATGTTTGTATATGTAAATGATTAAAATTAATTGTAAAGTAAAATAAGTAGTTATAAATACTTAAGTAAGATTTTAGAAGGGAAATATGAAATTATCAGAAAAGAAAACTTTGTGAATTATTTCTTAGGTTATTACTGCGAGGATTTGTTTATGATGCTGTAACTTTATAAGATACTTTGAGTATTTTACTATATACATTCAATTATTTAAAAAAGGTTATTTATGCATAGGTATACTCCAATACATTGCAAAAATTCTACTATTTGCTGCTCGAGTTTATAGTGTACCGATGATACAGTGATACATTTTATCATCTTGAGAAAAAGTTATAATTTTATTATTTGTAAAGGCATTTTGTTCTAATATACAGTTTGATACCCGAGGCAAACTTTTGACATCCACGATATCTCTGATTTAACAGTATTCATCTACATAATTAAAAAACCATAAACAATATCAGATATTGAGATATTCAAAATGTTTTTACATAATGCTACTCTGTGCTTCAGAAGAAATGACCAAATACAGGGTGAGTCATTAATAATGGTACACAGCTTAATGGCAGATTGCTAAAGTCAAAATATAGCGATTGAGCCAAACATGCCTTAATCAATTGTTGCTCCTTTTCGTTCTACCGGGTGTTACATTTTTTGCTATATTTTGTATGAACCGATTGTTTTGAAAATTTGTAGTTTTACGTTTTTTGAGGTGGCAAATACGAATATGCAAATAGTGTTGGGATCACGTCTAAGGGGCGCTATTTACCTATACTGCCCTATCAATATAAAAATATGTCTAACTTTTTTTATTTTACAATCTTGAATTTTTTATCTAGAAATTATTGAACTAAGGTTCAATTATAAATAAAAAAGGTATACTTGTTACAAATCGATAAACTCAATGCTTTCGAGATACAGACGTTTAAAGTATGTTTTTGAAATTCGGCGGGAATTAAATTAGAAATCTTAACATTACAGCAACTGAAAATTTTATTATCCATATCTTGATAAATTATTAATCATAAAAGATTCTCAAAGCAACCACCAGCGACTTCAATGCACTTTCTTAGCATTTTTATTAGCGATAGAGAAGTACCTTGGCCTGCACGCAGCCCTTATTTAAATCCACTGGATTTTTACTTTTGGGGCAATATTAAATCTCTAGTTTACAAATACATTAATAGTCAATAACAACTGTGGACAGATATTCAAGAATTAGTTCATATTATCAAACAACAATTATTTAACGTCAGACAAAATTTAAATAACAGTGCATTGAAATCGCTGGTGGTTGCTTTGACAATCTTTTTTTATTTATTAATAATTTGTTAAGATATGCATAATAAAATATTCAGTTGACGTAATGTTTGTCTTAATTCCTATTTCTGGCTTGGTAACTTAGCACCTGCCCATTTTCTAATTTACTTCCCGCCGAATCTCAAAAACTTGAAACGTCTGTATTTCGGAAACGGTTGAGTTTATCCATATGTAACAAGTATACCTTTTTTATTTAGAATTGAACGTAGTTCAACAATTTCCAGATAAAAAAATCAAAATTGTAAAATACAAAAAGTTAGAAATATTTTTACATTTATAGTATAACTAGCGCCCCCTAGACGTGACCCGAATACTGTTTGCATATTCGTATTTGCCACCTCAAAAAACGTAAAACTACAATTTTCAAAACGATACTTAAAAAATAGCAAAATATCGAAAATATTTTTTCAACTTTAGCACCCGGTACAACGAAAAGGAGCAACAATTGATTAAGGCATGTTTAGCTCAATCGTTATATTTTGTCGTAAACAATCTGCCATTAAGCTGTGTAACATTATTAATGACTTACCGTGTATATAATATAAATTGTAAACATGATTTTGTACTTGTAAGGAAATTTTATCTATGATCGTAATAAAAACGTTATATAATGTGGTGCCCATATAAAAAAAAATCCTCCCCTTGGCAGGGGAATCATCCTTTTATTTTAAAATGTAGATAATTCTATTAGTTATACTTTTTTAAATTATAAACAGTTGCATAATATTAATGGCTTTTCAATGGCATGTTCCGAATTTTTACCAATTTAAAAAATAACGACGGTACCTTTTTAAGGGTCTGAATATTTAAGCAACTTATCTATTTTAAATCACAGTATTTATCTATACCACTGTACATAGCTTACAAAAATAAGACTGTATGAAAAATATACAACGTAGAATTCTCTAAGAATACAAATTAATGTTTTTAGCCTACCGTAGGTTATAATCTTTGCTTTAAATATTTTTTCTCAATAGAATCTATTTAATCAATCAGTTTATTAAAAAAAAAATTGTATAACAATTCCGAGTGTTGTATATACTTTGTTATTGATGGTGGTATGTTGACTGTACTTTATCATATCTTTTTAGATATTTAAGAACTATCTAATAAAGAACATTTAGTTTTATATTTACAATTTTTCTATAAGAAAAAACTACGAAAAGCTCAACTGCAGTAACATATCCGTTAGGACGGCAAACTTACTGTTTAGGATACTAAATGCAATGTTTTAATTTAATAATGTATTTGCAATTATCTATAGACTGTAACCTCTCATGTATATGTCGATTATTTAACCATTTAAGTAAACTATGTAATTAAGAAATGGAAGCATGTCAAATATTTTCATTCATAATATTAAAAAAATAATGTCCTACTGTGGTAATTAGTTTAGGGAAATCTCAATAAAAGTGATAAAACTTTTTTAGGTAAAGCTTAATACCATTATAGAACTATTGATTATTGAAAAAAGTTGTATTTCAGATGATTGAGTACGTCCAGTGAGGATAAATTGGGGCTACGCCATCTTTATTATAACCGGAATAGAAACCGATGAGAATAATTCCAAAATTGATACTAGCAAAATAAAATATGAACGTGCAAATCTGTAATCAAATTTTGCTGAATATGCAAAAAAATATATTATGCTTGACCCACAAAAAAGAGTAGGGAATGCATAAAGATCAATTAATGAATTTACCTATAATGTAGGTAGACTTTTATTCAAATAGAAAATTAAAAGCCATACAAATTTTAAGTTTTAATCAGCGTTACTTAATTTTCATACATAATTAGTTCTAAATTAAGCATAATAAGCAGTAGGTATGCTGTCTAATCTTAATTTGTATGGGTGAAATGACATACCGCCATTTTTTTTAAATCACTGCAACTTCCCGAAAGTATTTTCATAATATTATGATAGTATGCACTTTACTTCACACTCTTAACAAATTTGGAGCAGATAACTTCTCAAATTCTGCGATGTATATGAATATTGTCGGCCGATATGCAAAACTGTACCTAACTCCAAAGAAATTCGTTTATTTGGGATTTTGTAAAGAAGTTCTTTTAAATATCGTCCCACATCTTTTTACAAAAACGATATAGGTCACATTTAAATGGTTTGGATGTCATGACATAATATTAAAGATGTGTAAATTCAATGTTAATCTTAAAAGAGTGTATGCGTGTAGCTATTTGTAATGTTATTGTTTATAGATCAATATTTTATGCACCGATTAGAGAAATACTGAGTAGTAAAGTTTTCATGGTATTAAATTTATGTATTGACTTACACAACTTTGAATCAGATTTGAGATACACATTTTTTTAAATACTGTTTTTAGCTTCTCCTGTAAAGTGACCTGGATTGCGAAAGAAGGCTTTGCATCTCAGCCAACATTACCAGACTTTTATTTTATATTACAAAAGTATGTGTTAAAAACGTGTTTACTGTATAATGTGGAACAATTTTTATTAATACCGGCACTTTAAAGGTGTGTACTGACAATATTCATGATTCAGCGGCCAAACTATACATTTCCACTCGAGTATAAATCGAGACAAATTGCCAAAGTAAAACTTTTCAAATTCCCCACTGCACAACTGGTATTAGACAGAACGTAAACTGAAAAGTGCTGAAAAACCTCAAAGACTCTTACGTAGAATTAAGTGACAAACTTTGGAAAGTGTTACTCACCGATGAAGCAGCGGATCGTAAGATGTGGGTTAGTTTGGGGAGGTTCGAGGAGCGCAAGCAAGCACGAGAGCAGCACGGCAACGCGGACGTAGGTGTGCGCTGATTCAAGCGGATCCGGTTTTATACCCCCCTTTTCGCCTGCGCTCTGCCATTGCAAATTCAGAATGTTTTTTTTTATTATTCAGATAAATAAACAAATAAGATTAGGCCAGTGATATCTTAATGAGGACTATTAAGGGCTTTAGTGTTTGTCCTTTACACCGATTCCGTTCGTCAAAGTAAATAGTGGATTGTAATATTACATAATGCAGGTGGTGTAAAGCATGTCTTTTAATATATTTTTAACGTTATATGATGTCTAAATAAAAATTTAAATGAACAAATTAAATTATTCACCAATTTGCACAACTTTACAGATATTCTGTTCTTTCTGAAGATTAAGAAACTCTTAAGCGTTTAAAAATAACTACCTTTTGAATCATCCTGATACAAATTATAATATAGTTTCGTTGTGAAACGCTTTCTGTAATATTAAAGAATATAGTGGAATATTTTGAAGAGAAATATAATAAAAGATTAAACAAACAACCTATGATTTGGTTGAGATATGTTGATGATATTTTCCTAATATGTCCGTATCATTTTGATGTTTTAAATTTTTTTTTTTGGATTACATAAATGATAAAGAACGATTGTTCTTTATCATTTATGTAATCGATTGATTAAATTCATTTTAATACGTTGTCATGACTGTATATATACCTAAGTGTATATTGAAAATCAATAAATGCTAATAGGTATTTAAATTTCAATCCACACAGACATACACTATAAAAAAATGGGTCTGAGTGAAAGCAAAAAGGTACTGACAATGAGTGAATCCATCGAGTTAAATTATTGAGTACATTTTTAGTCAATAGTAGGCATATTTTCGATAATATTTGAACTAAAACCGATAGTTTAACTCATATAATTTTAGTTGTACTTATACTAATAGAGGAAAATTTCACTCAGTCGGGTGTGGACAGAAATTGAATGAAAGTAAGTCCAATTTTTCTTACAGTCTCAAGAAAACTGACAATAAAATGTTTCTATGATTATATACAAATTCGTGAAAACTATGTTATTGGATAGTCAACATCAAAATTATTAACAGAACGTGCGGAAATATAGAAACTAGAAATAATTTTCAAAGACAACAGAATGCTAGGTATACCTACATGCTGTAAAAATACCGCATATTCAAGATTCATCCTAAAAATTAAAAATAATTGTTAATAGGTTTAATAGTAGCACTGCTTTCTTAACAATCCTATTAAAAACTTGACCTCAAAAAAGATACAAAATTCTAAAGACTATATCCTACAGTAGGTATACCTTGTTTGTGAATAAGTAAACTTTACCATAGTAGACATTGAGACCTTTAATGTTGAAATTTGATGACTGTGAGACTGTATTAGAGAGGGAGAAGTTAAAAAATCGAAAATTTTGCCAATATAGTCATATTATTAAATGAAACACAATTTTTGGGAAAACAAAATAATACGATAAAAAGAAAACTAAAAGCTTAGACCGTGATATACAATCCGTACAATAATTTTTGAGATAAAATTCCAACAAATGGATAAGCCAATAAAGTTCTGTTAGTTATCGGAACTACTGTAATAATTTGCCGCGGCAGAGGCGTGCCTTGAAACTTTCAATCTTTCTAACTTGGGTGTCGAATGCGGTTAATTCGAAGAAAGTGACGCAGGGGTCTTCTTGGAATTCTATCTCAATAAATATCGTACAGACTGTATGTCTCAAATCATTATTCAAATTTTCATAGTTAACTGAATATTCTCAACGACTAGTTACCTAAGTAATAGTTTTGTTCCTTGAGTAATTCCCTTGACTATATAGTCAAAGGTAATTCGTAACAATTTCTAACAGTCAGATGCATTCGCATTCCGATAAAATGCTTAGAAGGTTCAAAATTCTATATTTCGAATCAGATGCGAATGGGTCTGATTATTGGAAACAGTTTTGTTGCTCTAGGAACAAAACTAGTATACAGAATAAATCACATTTTACTTAAAATCGTTTGAGATTTGATAAAGACAACCTTTGTTTTCATTGTTTTCAGGTGTGACTAGATGTAAATCGATTTTTTTAATAAACTAGTTTTTACCTTTTATATTAAATTTCTATTTAGTATTGTATTTCAACGGGATTAAGTTAATTCTAGAAATGGAGTTAAACACAAGAATTAAATACAAGAAATCTAAATATGCAAAAGATATCCAAACTCAGACAAGGCTCGTAACTGATGCTAATATTGCTGGAAACAATTACTTTATGGACAACATGCTATATACAGGGTGTTCTGAAAGTCCGCCAGGAAACTCCGGGAGGTGATCCAACGGATTAAAATAATAACATTATGTAGGTAATGCAAATTTTTTCGAATTGTCAATTGTTTGCAAGTTACAGCTTGTCAAAGATCAATTTTTTTGTTTTTCTATTTAAATAACTTATTTAATTTAAGTTCGATTGGTATACTATTTGGCACACCCACTAAGTAGATGAAGCTCTATTGGACCAGTCAGAGAAAATTTTCATTATTTCAAAATTTGTTTTGTTCATAACTTTTTTCTCTTGCTAGACATCACAGAAATTTAAACATTATTGGAAAGAAAAATAATGTCAGAAAAAATTATGTTCAAGTCGATAAATGTAACCGTTTAGCATTAAATCGCTATNGAGTTCTAGGTAAAGTGCCCTCTAGCGGCGCATAATGAAACTTTTCTCTGACTGGTCCAATAGAGCTACATCTACTTAGTGGGTGTGCCAAATGAGAGGCTAATCGAACATGAATTAAATAAGTTATTTAAATAGAAAAATAAAGAAAAATTGAATTTGACAAGCTGTAACTTGCAAACAATTGACAATTCGAAAAAAATGTCATTTCATACTGCTATTATTTTAATCCATAGAATCATATCCCGGAGTTTCCTTACAGACTTTCAGTATATCCCTGTTACACTACTGTTTTAGAATGTAATTTTTTCTAGGAATTTAATGTTTCGATATAATTTTATAATATTAATATTTACTTTTTTATACAAAGGAAGCTGATGAATCAATCTCAATTTATTGTGAAAGCAAAAGAATGTCTTTGTAGTAGGTAGCTGTATTTTACGTGTTCATCTTTGTCAAAAGATGATAAGAGAACAAAAATGTAAAATATGTCTTTGAATGATTACGTTATTTAACATTTTCAATGTATCAAGTGGTTTTTTTGTATTAATTATATTTAAACACATTTTTAGTTTTTATTTTGGAAAATTGTTTGTTACTAGCTGTTTAACGACTATTGGAGGCGTCATGTAATGCTAGTATCAATCGATATCAACAGTTAAGAGGCTGTGTCTTTTACATAGGTACCTATATCTCTGGTATCGAAAAACATTGTTTTATTTTCATTTTCAATTCATATTTCTAATTTCTATAATCAAAACTAAATTTATAAAATCAACCTCTTCGCTGATCCTTTTTGGTTAAACTGACTATATATTTAAGAAAAATTTGCAAATTATTCTTATACCTAACTGATATTTTCTCATAATATAATTTTTAAATAAAAAGCTGTGTGTGATATAAAATTAAATAATAAATAATGACATATATTAAGGAAGTTAAAAAGAAGCCCCATTTTATTTGTTGTAAATAAAAGGCCATACGACTATTACAATCTTTTTATCTGTTAATTCCCTATGTATTCATTACATTTTTGCATGTAACTGTTATCAAAATGTTAAAACTGAACTCAAAATATTCACTGGTAATATGGCACCCTTTAAACGTCACCCTACTGCTTTTGTAGCAACTGTATCTACATATATGGTGTGTCTCAACGGAGTTATTGACGATAACAATCACGGAATAAATATTTTTCACACCCAGTACATTCATGGCATATGTACCTAATTGACTTACACATCGAGTAAGTTGCCCTTGCCTTTTTCAAACTTACCTTTTAGATTTGGTTTTGGTTCTTTTGTCAACATTTCAAGATCGGTTAACACAGTCATATTTGAGAGTTTTGGTGGTCTTATTAAGTTGAATTCTAATCTGATTTCTTTTAATGTACCTAATATGAAACCTGGATTAGTACTACTAGTCATTTAAGGTCGCTTTATAACATGAATAATACTGCAAATGTTTACTAATATAAATACTGAAACAATATCAACATTTTAGAAGGGTGCTTAGAATTTTTTTAGCGATACTGCTAATTTTTGGTATATAAATAGAGAAAAAGGGATTTTTGGGTCAAATATTGGCCGAGGAAATGAAAGCAGTTAAATCACTTGGATCTTTTAATCGATATTAAGAATTAAAAATAGATAATAAATATAAAAATAATAATTAATTAAATTCAATTAGGAAAAGATACGTAATCACTGAATAATTAATACTGATGAAATGAATTACGAACGTGAAACACAGCAATTCTACTCATTAACCCCTTATTGGATTTAATCTTCAGTTACTCTTCAATACTAGACGTCAATACTTCAATAACATATCTACACAATCAGTATTTTATGATACTACAACACATTGTTTATTATGGGTTTTAAAGTCCAAATGGAGAATAACCTCTTAGAATTTGATAAAAATATCACAAATCCGTTGGTTAAGTGAAAATGAACTTAAATATCGTATATGTGCCTCCTATAACAATTTGACATATAACTTTTGTTATATACGAAAAGCCCTAAACCAAATGGTGGGAGGCCCGACAGGCCATTGCAACATTTGTAAATAAAACTAATTTATGTTTTAAAATAATTATTACATTTGCTATTTTAATAAACGAACATAACAAAAAATAATTATGAATACTAATATGTACTGTTTTAAGGTTTACAAATAATTTTGTTATCAGTTTTTTAAGCAGTGTATGTATTAAATTTGTGAATCGCAGTGTCAAGGACCTTTTAATTGTACTACTGTCACTACGTACAGTAGATTTAGGATACCTAAAATAAGGATGTACACAAATACAGTAGGTATGTGTCCAACCTTTAGATATTAAATTAATCCAAAATAAAT